AACCACGCGAGTGCCCAACCAAACTCGAGGCGTTTTAGGAACATTCTTCGATGTCTAATACGTCCTGTATTGATTTCCCAACCACTTCACATGTTCAATCGCGTGCTTGATYGAATGGATGGAAATCAGAGTAAGACATGCTATTAGTCCCTTTGACTATTTTCTAGGGATGGAAATCAGATTTTAACTATTTACTGATTCTCAAACAAAACATCTGAGAGTCAAAAAACGAAAATAGCAGTCGATCTGAAACACCAACCTACTGTGATTTCGACCGCTGGTAATAAATCTTCGCTGCTGGAACGACTCCCGCCGCTGGTTCAGTGAGAAGATGAAGGAGGCGAGAAATCGATTTTAACTATGAAACAGGGGAAAACATATACTGATTCTCAAACAAAACATCTGGGAGTCAAAAAACGCAAATAGCAGTCGATCTGAAACACCAACCTGTTGCGATTTCGACCGCTGGTAATAGATCGCCGCTGCTGGAACGACTCCCGTCGTTGGTTCAGTGAGAAGATGAAGGAGACGAGAAATCACAGTGAGGAGATGAAGGAAAAGAGTATAAATTGCAGTGAATGGAAGGAGAACACTCCGCCATGAATGAAATCTTACCTCAATGTTGGCTAAAGGAGAGAAACCACCGCTGGTTGCAGAGAAGATTGTGTCGATGGGCAAAACCTTATACTCTTTTATTCGAAGGGCATTAATGGTATTATAAAAATTTATTAGGGATCTGCTGCACTCTTCGCCTACCACTGGCGATCATTTATGTGTGGCTGCCGGTGGCCAGGATCGTCATACCTTCCATGTAGATGAAGCCGCCAATGGTCGAGTTTCAGCCAGGGGATGTTTCATTAAAAAAACAGGCTTACAGGGGATGTATTTTTTTTAATACAGGCGACCACTGGCTCTTCATTAATATCTGATGAGTTCACCGACCACCGGCGATCATTTACCTTTGGCCGCCGGTGACCGAGAGGCTCATACATTGTTGCTTATGAGCTGCCAATGGTCATGTTTTGGCTGTGATCACAACATGCGCGTATTCACGTCGGGTAAAGGTGACAGATATTGTTTCGGGTCGGGTCTACCCAATATTTGCGAATTTACTGTTTGTTTCATAACTTATTAAATCGGTTCGGCTTTAAACCAAATCCAGTTTAATTATGTACATATATTTAATTACTGATACTTAATAAAAATGTTAATTAATTCGATTTGTTTTTAAACCAAACCTGGTTTAATTAAAT